CAGGGATCTAGTATGGAAGCATCATCCAGAAAGCTCTGCAACTGTATCGCCACCGCCCTCTCAATTAACTTGCCCAAATAAGGCAAGTTGGAAACCGGCCGATAGTAGGCCAATTCAGCCGGATCCAGGGATGGCTTTTTAAGGAGGGGGCGGACCATCGCTTCCTTGAGAGCCCCCGGGAACAGTCCCTCCAAGAGGGACTTGTTGATAATATCCCTGAGAGCACCTTGCAACCCCTCACGGCCAGCTTTAATTAGCCAGGAGGGACACGGATCAAGGCTGCAAGTGTTTGGGCGTACAATTGAGATCAGTCTGTCAACTTCCTCTAGGCTGAGTGGACTGAAATAATCCAGAATGGAACCAGAAGACGTGCATGGAGCCTCGAGTTCACTCACTGTCTCAACTGTGGCGAGGAGGTCGTGGCAGAGCACCAAGACTTTATCTGCAAAGTAGCTTGCAAAAGCCTCACAGCCGATGTCCAATTCCCTAGTGTTTTGTCTGCCCTGTGGCAGATCTGTTAGAGACCAAATTGGTCTAAATAATTGTGCTGGGCGTGAACTAGCAGACGCAATTGAGGCTGCGTAGAACTCCCTCTTCGCAGCTTTGACTGCCACCTTATAGGATTTCATAAACGTCCTATAAGATGCTCTCGTTGCTTCATCACGAGCGCGCCGCCACTGTCTCTCTAGCCGTCTAAGCCTTTGCTTCATCAGCCTCAGCTCCTGGGTGTACCAGGGAGCCAGGCTTGTGTGCGGGCGCAGAGGGTGTCTGGGAGCGATCTCATCGATGGCTGTTGAGAGCCAGTTATGCCAGTCCTCGACTAGCTCATCTAATGAGCCACCAGGGGGCATAGGATCCCGCAGAGCCATCTGAAGCCGCGCTGGGTCCATTTGGCTCCACGAGCGAGCTAAAATATGCTCGCCGCCCAAACAGAGTAGGGGTGGTCCGACCGTGGAACTGCCGTAGCAGTAATCCGGTCCACTGTAACCCCTGCCGCGAAGATCAAATCAAGCGTGTGACCGGCTCGGTGAGTGAGGGCCATTACATATTGGGAGAGTCCCAGCGCCGCCATGGACGAGGAAGCTGCATCATCAGCATGGACATTGAAGTCACCCAAGACTATCAGTCTAGGGTGCTCCAATGCCCAGCCTGACATGGCCTCCACCAGGGACAGCAGACTGTCAGGTGGTGCGTTGGGCGGACGGTACACCAACCAGACAGCCAAACTCTCCCCGGCTTCCCACACAAAGCTGGCACACTGAATGCCTGTGAGCCTCGGCACCAGAAACGCCCTGAAGGAGTAAGCCTCTCGAATGAACAAAGCCACTCCTCCCCCCCCCGCCCCGTTGTCCGAGATTGGTGAAGGACCGAGAACCCAGGCGGAGCTAACTGGGAGAGTGCTACTGTCTCCCCATCTTGTACCCAGGTCTCGGTCACGCATGACAGGTCCGCATCCTGCTCAAGCAGAAAGTCCCGAAGGACTGTGGTCTTGTTATTTATGGACCTGGCGTTGCACAGCACCAATGTCGGAGTGGGGTTTCTGGTCCTTGCCCCGCTGCCTGCCTCCTTTGGGATGGGACGCAGGCTGGAAGGTGGCCGAGCTTGGTGGTCTCCATTCCAAGTATAGACCCAATTTAGCTTCTGAGATCTGATGAGATGAAGCTGTACCATGCCATCTTCCCTCCCGTACCATCACTGTACTATATAAATATTTTATTTCACAACACAGTATTTTTCTTTACTTCTTTGGGGGTTTAAATACACACACACACACACATATATATAGATCTTAGCACGACTTGCCTTGAAGATCTATTCTAAAGCAACTATATTTAAATGTTCTGCATTTTAGATGGCTACATTAAAACCACAATGGTGGAAATTGACTATGACTCTTTGAAAAGAAAGCCACGACCTTTGATCAGCATTCAGCCGACGCAGCCAGACAGTGACCAAGAAGTGTATGATGATGTTGGGGACCAAGACAGCACTGGCAGGCATGTTTGAATTCCATACATTCCAAAAGACAGCAGTTCTTAAGTCTTTTGCTGGTTGAATTACCACGTTGACTCTCATTTGCAAGTGACCCCATTGATATACACATGCTGTAGCCGGGTTGCCAGCTCTGGATAGGGAAATTCTTAGATATTTGGGAGTGAGGTCTGGGGAGGGCCTTAAATGGGGGTAATGATGTTGTAGAGTCCATCCTCCAAAGCAACCATCTTCCCCAGGAGGAAACTGATCCCTGTCATCTGGAGATCAGTTGTAATTCTGGGAGATCTCCAGACCCCAGCTGGAGGTTAATGTATCAAAAACAAGACAGGCTTTGGTGTGGATACAGTCAGGGAAAACGAACTCACCGAAGAAAAAACACTGTTCTATCATTTTACACACTTTGTTATACTTTTTATAATGTTTATAATGCAAATTTCTTGTCCTAAACAACTTTCATTGAAGAGCTTTGGGAAGACATTAGAGAGAGATTGTGTTGATCCGTAGTATTGTCATCCCTGCAGTGCTCCGTAAAGAGATTGGTGATGAGCATCAGCAGAGAGACTGAGTTGAAAAAGACATTCGAAACCACTTTTTAATTCTAGAAACGAGTGTTCTCTTTATCTCTTGCATTCCTTGGATTCACATGTTTTTCATACAAAGGAGTGATAAACGTCCTTTAGCAGCCTGAAAAAATGAAGGCTTTTCAGTCTGTGTTTTTTTCCCCTTCACAGCTCCAATCTCCTCCTCCTCCTCCTCCTCCTCTTCTTCCTCTTCCTCTTCCTCTTCCTCTTCTTCTTCTTCTTCTTCTTCTTCTTCTTGAATAGTGTTTTTTCTAATCAATCCATCTATCTCCCAGCTGGAGGTTAGCAGCTCTACATCTGGTGTATGCAAGTAATACAGGGGGGGGGGGAACCCGGTTCCTTTTTTCTCTCTGTCTTTTCCCTTCAATTATTTTGCTCTTTTTTTTTTTTACAGTGGAGGTCAGAGCGCCACAGGGGGTAAGTTCTACTTTTCTTTAAAAATTGAAATCAATCCATCTATCCATCCATCCATCCATCCATCCAACTATCTGTGAGCAGGTTCCCTCCAGCGTAACCAATAAATAGAAAGCTAATAGAAGCAGTTTTGATTCCTGAATACTAGGAGCAATACAAGTAGAGAGCAAATGTACACCCATAATGCTCTTGGCACCTTAATTTGTGTATACCACTGAGATGCACTCAACATAGGCATGCTGAGATCTTTGCTGCTCATCAAGCCAAAATACCCCGTTCACACAGGAACACACAAGAAGCTTCTTTGGACTCAATCAGACCCTTGGTCCATCCAGGTCAGTATTGTCCACTCAGACTGGCAGTGGCCCTCCAGGATCTCATGCTGAGATCTTTCATATTTTTGGTCCTTTTTAATTGGAGATTCCGGGGATTGAACCTGGGACCTTGTGCATGCAAAGCAGAGGCTCTTCCACTGAGCCACAGCCCCTCTTTTTAAGTCCCTTGATTACACACAAGGCAAGCATCTGATCTGATTGTCTCAGTGTGCCCTGGCAAAGTCTGTCTTGAGCACAGTATCATGCTGAGCAGCTGTGCACCTGTGCAGAACCACTTGGCTGTTACACTTTGCAGCTGCTTTTTCCTAGTTCCTGAACTTAATCATTGTCATACACTGGAGAAGAGACAACATCCTCTGAGGTCACAGTTGGGTCATTAAATCAATCAACTTTTGTAAAATAAGGAATCACCATGAATCCTCTGCTTGCACTTTGCATTCCTTAAAGTGACTGGAATAGACTACACATTCATGCCCCTCTTCATAATGGCACCATCTTTGCTAGTAGTTTAATAACAGCTCCATTAAGATTGCACTAATTTCTGGGGAAACCTATAGTTCGAAGGAGTGAGCAACTTGATTCCAGGTCTGTGGGGTTCTGTCTACATTATGTTTCATTTTGTGAGTTCTTTATCCTCTACTATCCTTCCCAAGTGGATTTCCTTTGCTGGCTGTATAAGGAGGACTCCAAGTACAACAGAAGTGTGAAAGAATGTTTCAAATCCTCGCAGGATTGACAGCAAGTGTATTTATCTCAGGACCACTCCTGTATAATCTCTGGGCTATTGGGGTGGAGAGGCATAGGCCAGGATTAAAGGAGGCACCCCCCAAAAGCTTGATATGCTCGAAGAAGCTTTGAAGAACTGCAATGGCTGCTTTTTGAAACATAGTTGGTGGCATGACGTAATTGTCCACTATACAAAGAAACAACATAGAAATGAAGCTGAAGTGCACAATAGCAATAGATAAGTAGCTGAAAAGCTGGCAGTATATGGTTTTGTGGTGTATATGTAAGACAGAGGTTCTTTTCTGTGAATGTGGTAGAGGCTTTAAATGATCAATGACTGACTAGGTTTGAGAGAGGCAGCCATGTTGGTCTGATGCAGCAAGAATGAACAGGAGTCTACTGGCATATATTGGAGTGAAACTTCCAGGCAGATTTTTTCCCACTTACTTTTGTGGGAATTATCTCCTGAATTTGCTTTTATTTTTATTTTTTTCCATTTTTAAGTGACATTTCCTCCTCCTCCCACCCCTGATGAAATTTATGATGGAGTTGATGATGATGATGATGTGCCACCAAGGTAAGCTTCGAAACGGGGGGGGGGGGGGGAGAATAATTTGGAAATGTGTCCACCTTGATTAGACAGTGATGAAAAGATGTTAGGTAAAGGTAAAGGTTCCCTTGCTCGAAAGCCAGTCGAATCCGACTCTAGGGTTGCGGTGCTCATCTCCGTTTCAAAGCCGAAGAGCCAGCGCTGTCCGAAGACATTTCCATGGTCATGTGGCCGGCATGACTAAACATCAAGGCGCACGGAACGCTGTTACCTTCCCACCGAAGTGGTACCTATTTATCTACTTGCAATTTCTTGCTTTCGAACTGCTAGGTTGGCATGTTAGGAAAGTTGTAAATGGGGTAAAATGCAGAAGGGTATAAACTAGACATCACCAATGTGGAGCTCAAGGGTACTGTGGCACCCGTCAGTGGCTTGGATCCTATGACATAGTTCCCCTCGTGCTTCTGTCTAGCCTCTGTGGAGGCTTTCCTCCACTGTGGTACTCACTTCCTCTACCGCTCCTTAAAAAACATAGATCTTGCACAAGTGAAAGTGCTAGAGAGGAAGTGAATGCCATAGTGGAAGCTTCCACGGTGCCCAAAGAAGCAGAAGGAGAACAGTGTCCTAGGATCCAAGCCAATGTGGGGGTTTTTTGTCCCCACTTGCTTCTTCCACAAAACATCTCTGCCCCAAAGCAAATAGTCAATTCTGGCTTTCTTCTACCTCACTGGAGCCGAAGGTGCTTCAGAAGAGCCATTTTGAAGTGGGTCTCTGTACTGAATCCCTATGGTTGTCATTTTGTGATTGCTCCATGGAAGCCATTTTGAAGTGGGTCTCTGTATCCATTATCAAAATTACAAATGTGTCCACAAGTTCAACAAATTTGGGGGTCCCTGATTTGGGGCTTTTAAAAAGATATATATGCTTATGTATAGAAATAATGTAATTCCTTCAGGGATTGTTAGTAGATTCTTAATGGTTTTACCTCCTTGTAAATGAGTTTTTGATTCTAAGGACACTCGGATATTGTAACTTCTCTTTTATTGGGAACAGAATCAGTAAAACAGAGTACAGGTTGAACTGGTGTTCATGTGACACAAATGGAACTATAAATCTCAATTATGTGTACTATGCTTGTTCAGTCCTCCACAATCCTCCACACTGATTCTGTTCTAATTCAAAATTTGAGCCCAATAGCATCTTAAAGACCAGCAATGTTTTTTTTCCAGTGGAGAAGCTTTTATGAGTCAAAGCTCACAAATGAGAAACATTTCTTATGAAAGCTTATACACTAGAAATTTGTATTGGTCTTTAAGGTAGTACTGAACTCAGATTACAGACGAACACAGCTGCACACCTGTTTTAATTCAACAGGTGAGTCACAACAGGTGAGGGGGGAAGCGTTGCGGGAAGCCAGCGGGAGGGAGAGAGTAAATTGGGGATATTGGTATGGGGTTAAAACTGAAATATTAATTTGAACTGATGATATGTCAATATTTTCATGAAAATAAAATTGTGTTCAAAAAAAAAAAAAAACAGGTGAGTCACATTTAAGTGTTTATAGGATCTGAGCAATTATTAGTCACTGACTTCTCTGTGGCCCCTGACTCTTAACACGTCTTTCCAATATTACTGCATTTCTTGAAAATAATTTAGACCATGATTGAGCCAAAATTATTACCTGCTCATTTCAATAGGACTTCATTGAACTGTCTGTGGAGATTGGTAGTTTGGGTCCTATGAACCTTGAACAAAGCAGAATTCACAAAAGGGATCATTCTTATCACTCCTTCCCAATGGAACCACCAAGAAGCTACTCCTGAGGGTCAGGGAAACCCTCAGGAATGAGATGGGATGCAACGCAGGGGGCTACAGCTGGAGAGGGAAGTTTGTGGAACAACTTGTATGCAAGTCTAGAGTAATTTCCACACATTCCTTTCTCCAGCTGCACCCTCCCACACCACATTCCATGGCATTCCTCTGCCGTAGCAACTTATGAGATACAGAAGAGGGGACTCCAGTTAGAAGGAGGTGGCAAAAATCCTTTCTTTGAATGCTACTCTGTGCACAGGGATTCAAGTATGACTGGAAGTCTCTCCCAGAGCTCCTTTAAAATCAACATGGTCTACATTATTTTGATCAAATGCAACAAAGTTGGAAAGGAAGTGTTACAACTGAGATCATCTTAGTAACTCTTGGTGATCCTTCCCTTTGGGAAGGGCTCCAGCCAAATAACACCATTTCATATAATGGGTGCGTTCAGACGGGGGCTTTCTGCCGACATAAACTGCACCGGTTGGAACCGGTGCAGTTTATGCCGGCAGAAACGCGATCAGACTTACCTCCATTTTGCGGATCCCTCCGGTGTACGCCCGCTCACACGCTGCAGGTGTCGGCGAGGTTTTTTTTTTTTTTTAAACAGTTTGAGCATGCGCATAGGCAGCCATTCATAGAATGGCGATCTTTGCGCATGCTCAAACCCTTCCCATTACATTTAAACTTTAAAGGTAAGGAGTTACCTTTAAAGTTTAAAGCCCAACCTGGCCTTCCTTAAGTCCCGGACTCCTCTAGGAAGTTAAACTAAGGGCTTTTTAAAAAAAAACAAAAAAAAACGCTCAGGGCGAAGCTTTGCCCGAGCGCATATCGCCTAGTTTTTAAAAAATGGCGGGGGAAAGCCGGAAGCCTCAGGCTTCCGATGGAAATGGCTGTGGAATGGTGGAGACCGATCAGACGCCGGGGTACACCGTTTACAACCGTTGCACTCAGTATATCACCACTTGGGACCTGGTGGCAGAGTGCAACGGTGTAAAGGGCTTTACACCGGTTAGGGACAGGAGGCAGATGTGCCCGGTCTGAACGCCGGTGAGTACAATGGTTGGAACTGGCACTCTAACCGATATAAAGCCCCCGTCTGAACGCACCCAATATGTGGCAGCAAACCCTGGCTTGGCAGAAACCCCTGGTTTGCCACCAAGCAGACACTGAACAGGGATCTTCAGTCAAGTCAGAACTTCCTGACAATGTACCTGCATGATCTTTGCACTTCCACACATGCATCTGTTGCTTTCACCTTTTATATTTGTGGGTGACCACTTAAACCATTAGAGACCAGATCTGTGCTCCACATATCCTTTGCATATACTAGAGTTATCACATGCTGTTAGACACCTGAGTACATGTGTGTGGAAACGCTAATGCAGATGCAAGTGTAGTATCCAGATGTTCCCTGATTGGGAATCAACCATATAACACACTGGAGTACACATTCATCATGTTGGCTTGAGATGTATTTCTAAAAATTGTACTGGCTGTGTGGGCAATGGTTTCTCATGTGAACTCAATGCACCGAACAAAGTAGATACACAAAATAGAAACCAGTCCTGTAAACATTTTGTGTTTCATTCTGCAACATGATAATTGCATGCATACTCCAAAGGTTTGTGTCACAGGATGAAGATAAGAGTAACTCCTGGCCCCGAGGGCTATTGAAGATTATAAAGGGAAAAGATTACCAAAAGAAAAGTGTACGAGGGACAACACCTAAAGTCAATGTGAAAGAAGATAATGGAGGCCCCCCGTAAGAGTCTGCTGTGGAAAAAAAAAGTTCACTAAAACTAATAGCTAATAAACTGTTGATCACGTGCTACTAACAACTTCTCACAGCAGCTTAACCAACCAAGTATCACTTAACCCCCACCAAGCTTTGAGAACACTACTGTTCATGTTGAGCCATGTTCTGGGTTGGATTCAACCAGCTATTTTGCTAGCGGAACAGGGAGAATCGCTGAATCACATATCACTTTCACCACCAGAAGTGCTATGATAACTGGATCGCGGGACCTGCATGGACAAAAACTATGTGGGTCAAGGGTTGGCATAAGGAGGAGAGATGGGCGAGATTAAACAAAAAGCTAGCTGGATCCAACCCTCTGTCTTTAACTACATCACCATAGACAATTTAGGTCATCAGTGGAAGCTATTACATGAACTATTCCAAAGTGAGTCAGCTATTCCATGAGCTATTCCAAGGTTGAGTCAGCCACCTCTGGTGACAGATTTTGGGAATTTCTATTCATATTAGGGACACTGTTGGAGCTGACATATCTGAGCCATAGGGTACAAACCTTTATGTATCATATAACAAATTAGTTGGTGGGGAGTCTGTTGGATTTTCAATCACTGACACCAAAATGATTGGGCCATCAGTATATCTGAAAAGCTTATCATGGTTCAGCTTGTGGGCTGTCACCAGCTATTTTGTTGTCATATTCACAGTACATGATCTATGCCATGTTCACATTTTCTAAGCACCACACAACAGTTGTGACTGATCATGTGAAGAGAAGTGTTCTTCATGGACCAGCCACTGTATGCCTCTGGCAGATCACATTGGCTTCCACTCATGGGGAGGGCAGGGTAAAAATGTTAACAATAAATAAATAAATGAAGATAAAAATAAACCACAATCCAAAAAAAAATCTTCTCATTTTCTAGCTTTCTCCTTTATGTAACATGTCACGTCGGCTTGTTCTGATTCAGAGAATTTCAGAATCAGAAGCAATTTCTGAACTGACTGGAAATTAGTCTTATGGGTTGGTTCCAACCAGATTTTCCACTGGGGGGGGGAGAGAGAGAGGGAGTCACCTTTGACTACTAAAAAGGTTATGCTAAGGATCATGGGATCTGCATTTGCAAAAGCCATATGGGACAGGATATAGAGGGTAATTGGATGAAACTGAATTTTAAAAGCTGGGTGGATCCGACCCATTATGTCCTTATTTACCTCTGAAAGACAGTTTCAGGGAGCTAAAATGGCTTCAGAGACTGAAATACGAAACAGGAACAGTCAACCCTCACAATTCGAAGAATGGCTTCAGAGACTGAAATATGAAACAGGAACAGTCAACCCTCACAATTCACCATTCACGATTCCATTTGTTCACAGTCTGTGGTCCAGTTCTATGTTGTGGTCTCCAGCACCGTAATCATTAAACTTTGTGGGGAGGTTTGGTTGTTTGGCTATTGGGGGAGAAGCAGACCTGTGCCTCCCAATATTCTAAGGCTGCCAACCTCCAGGTGATGCAAAATCATGTGTATTGTTTATAATTGTAATTAGAACTGTATAAGAAGACAGAAGTCTCTAGTGTTATTTGTAGAGCGTGACATGTTATTCTGTTTATTTGTTTGCACAACTGTATTCGCTGTGCTTCCATTTTTGTGTGGTTGTTAACCTCCAGGTGATGGCTGGAGATCTCCTGCTGTTACAAGTGATCTCCAGGTGTTCACTTGGAGAAAATGGCCACCTTGGAAGGTGGACTCTATGAGAGTGTACCCTGCTGAGATCCCACCCCTTCCCAAACTCTGTCTTCCTCATGTTCTACCCCCCAAATCTCTAGGTATTTCCCAACCCAAAGCTGGCAACCCTATGAGTTTGCAGTGATCACAAGAGTGGATCTGCCATGAATAGCAGAGGTCTACTGTATTCCCAACTCAACTCTCACCTCTACTCTCAACTCAGAAGATGGCTTTAAGCAATCCACTACCTCTTTGCCTCCCCTCCTCATCTACCATTTCCAGGGTTGTCTGCAAGGATTAACAAGATAATATATATAAAGATCTTTGAAGACTCTTAAAATTATATAAATGTTAAGTATTATTCTAATAGCCATTGATCAAATTAGGCCATCCACCATCCATGTGATTCAGCTTTATTCTAACCAGGCAATCCCATGCACGGTTACTCCAGTTTAAGAAGACCATTGAAAACAGTGGGCTTAGACTGGGTTAAAATACTATCAAGATTACACCATAAATCTCACCAAATAGGGAAAAGTTAAGAATCTGCATTGCAACTAACCTAACCTAATCTTCAAGACAGAGAAGGGGAAGGTGAGGCATAGAATCACGGACGCTGAAATTCTGCAAGCAGCATGTCTTTCTGCCATTACGAAATTGCAAAACAGATGCATATATAAAATCAATTTTAGCCACTCTTATAATTTTCAGATATGTAAAAGATATGCAGATCAGTTCATGCAATCACAATTGCTTAATGAAGTTTTTGTTTTTTTTCCATTTCCAGCTCTCCTTTAACAAAGCAAACTGGGAAGGGTAAGTAGTAAAATTGAAAATGTGTTTTCTTTTCGGTTTTATAGTGATTCTGGGAGTGTGATCCTACAATCCTTAGAGGCCCCGGTCACACGGGAGGTTTTGGCCCGAAAGAGGGACGGATCAGGGGCGCAGCAAACGGGCACGATCCCACCGCAATATCTGGGAATCGGCGCGCACCCGTTCCCAATCAGCCCCTTCAGAACGAAAATGTGGTGCAAAAAAGAACCTACGAACTGGTAGGACTTACCTGAAGCACCGCAGCAAGCGCGGCCGTGAGATCGCCGGCGCGCTCGTCTGCAGGAGCCATCGAGGCTCCCGGCCGAACTGCGCATGCGCACACATGCGCAGTTCGGTTGCCTCACTCTCCTTTCAGTGGCTTCCCCCTGGCATCTGATCGTGCCGGGGAGGAACTTTGCGGCGGCTCAGGGGATCTGTGTGATCCCACCGCCGCGTGTCTCTTTTGGTGCGGCTTTGAAAAGCCACACTTTGGCCGTACTTCCCCCCTTCCCGCCTTGTGTGGCAGGGGCCAGAGTGTCCCTTCTCGTGTTACTGTGCGCCCACTCAAGGAGGTCAGGCAAGCAGGCATCAGCCTCAAGGAGGAAAGGACATCAGGAGTTGGCAGTGAGTGATCCATTGCACTGGGGGCCCTGGCAGGTGCCTGGCACTGGCAACCACTGATGCCAGATCTGGGCACACAGGGCCACCTGAAATCTAATTTTAGGTTTTCCAGTTTTAGGTATTCTGAACTGTAAGGTGTCTTCTCCATAAATATTTACTCAGTCAAAATGATTTCCCACAAGTAGTCCAAAAGAGTAGTGAAAGGGAAATTCCTTTCAAAGTATTTCGCCTTATGTGCAAATATCCCCTTAGGAATGTTACAAGAAAGGATTCAAAGGGTGGGGTGGGGGAGCTCGTACAGTGCTCTACGAAGAATGTCTTTAATATTGCATAGCTGTGTCATCTTTGGCTGTCATGGCACACTTTTGAAAGCCTCACTTCTAAGAGTCTCTGTCTTGCGACGTCTGTTCATTCATCACCCCATACAATGAACCGAGTGAGCTTTAAGTCTCATATACAAGAAACCATAATGCTTTATTGATGACACGGCTGCCTTGCCTTCTTGGAACCGTTTCTTAGCAACCTCTCATTAAAAGACTTTTAGGCTCCGCCAATGAGCTTATTGACAACTAGTAATACTCTTTTGTAGACACATAGGCCGCAGCCCTACAAAGCACCATGCACACATAAGCACATTGAAATTGATACTCTGGTGATACAATGTGGTTCCAAAGTGGAGGCACAAAAGCCTGTTTTATATAGAGCCAATGAACCTGGGCTGATGTTATTGTGCTTATCCCTCAAAACCATTAAAAGCATCATAAAAATATGCTTGGTTATAAATGTCATGACATGCCACAGCATGAGACTCATCTCCTATATAATGCTGCCCAATATACCTGGACTATATATTTTGCTTATTTAAAATATTTCTATGCTGTCTTTCCATCCAAATGGAGTCCTTGAGGTAGCAAACATCACAACATTAAACATTCCAGCATTAAAACATGAAGACATTAAAATAGCATTTAAAATACAGGTGTGCATAAAATATGTAAACAGTTCAACGAAACATAAAAACAAGGGCAGCCCCATGTAGAATGCTTTGCAGTAATCTAATCTAGGCATTACCAGGGCATACACCACTGTGGCAAGATCTTTCCTGCCCAAGAAGGGCCACAGCTGGCTTACTAGCCAAAGCTAGTGAAAGTCACCACTGCCACCCAATTATCCAACAGAAGGCCAGGGTCTAGCAGCAGCCCCAAGCTACAAACCTCTTTTAGGAGGAGACCAACTCCATCCAGAACAGGAGACATTCCAGTTCCTGCATCAGACCTTCCTTTTACCAGCAGCACCACTGTTTAGGAGGGATTAAGTTTTACCATGTTAACCCTCATCCATCCCCAAAACTGCCTCCAGGCACCTGTTCATGGTTTCTGTAGCCTCCATGGGATCTGCTAGAAGAGTGAAATAAAGATGAGTGTCATCATAAGCCCAAATCTCCAGGTGACCTCTCTCAGCAGCTTCACATACATGTTAAAAAAAACATGGAGAACAAGGTAGAACCTTGCAGGACACTCTAGGCCAGCGATTCTCCAGCACCACACTCTGAAACTTAGTTTTGAAGTAGGACTGAAACCAACACAAAACAGTGCTTCCCAGTCCCAACCCTGAAAGGCAGTCCAGAAGGATACCATGATCAATAGATATTTACTTCCATATTTTTTTATTTTAAAAAAGCACCCTTCTTGTTTTAGATTCTGGTGACAGTGATGTCTATGATGATGTAGAGCCATCTGATTTCCCTCCACCCCCCAAAATAATCAGGTGAGTGAACATATATAATAGTAGCCCATGCAAAGTGCAGTTTTTGGTTGGTTTTATTACTGTTAGAACTGCTGCTCAGTCTGTTGTTTAGCGATGCCAGCCTCTAGGTGGGACCTGGGGATCCTTCAGAATTACAGCTTATCTCCAGACTACAGAGATCAGTTCCCTAGAGAAGGTGGATGCTTTGGAGGGCGGACTCTATGACATTGTACCCCACTGAGGTCCCTGTCTTCCCCAAGCTCCACCCCTAAATCTCCAGGAGTTTCCCAAGCTGGATCTTGCAGCCCTACTCACCATTCGCCCACCGGTGGCCGGGGGGGACCTGGCAACCCTACGTTCATTAGAATTGTTGCTCCGTCTCCTGCCAATTCTGAAAAAGTAAACTGGTTCACAAAGCACGAATTAAGGATTTCAGTTTCAGATAATAGTAATAATACATAGCATTTACATTGTACTTTATTTTCAAAGTGCTTTCCGTCATATACTTATAACAATCCTATCATTATTCCCTCTCATAATTTTAGTGGTTGACCGTTAGTGGCTTCTCTTGGGTTGAGTAAGGTTATGACTGAAGATAGAAGTGAACTAGGAACTTCCTATGTTATTGCTCATTGTTGTTGTTCAGTCGCACAGTCGAGTCCGACTCTTCGCGACCCCATGGACCAGATCCCGCCAGGCTTATGTTATGTTATTGCTCATGCTTTTGGTCAAATAGGCACTTAAACTTTGTCTTTTGGGGTCTGAAGGCCAAGGGTTGACACCTTGCTTTCATGAGAGAATATTTTATGTGGATAACATTTCACCGTTGGAAACTTGGTGTGTGTGTAAAGTACCGTCAAGTCGCAGCCGAGTTATGGTGATCCCATTGGGTTTTCAAGGCAAGAGAATAACAGAGGTGGTTTGCCATTGGCTTCCTCTGCATAGTGACCCTGCAGTTCCTTGGTGGTCTCCGATCCAAATACTAACCAGGGCTGACTCTGCTTAGCTTCCTGAATCTGACAAGTTCAGGCTAGCCTGGGCCATCCAGGTCAAGGTGTTGGGAACTTTAGACCAATTAAATTAAAAAATTAAATTAGAGCCTGGGAAGAGCAGGGTTTGGGGAGGGGGGGGACCTCAATGGGGTATAATGCCTGAGAATCCACCCTCAAAGCAGCCATTTTCTCCAAGGAAACTGCTCAATGTTGTCTAGAGGGCAGGGGTAATTCCTGGGGGTAGACACCGTAAAAGTCAACACGAGCCTGAGTATGGTACAACTCAAAGAAACAGTACAAGACTGGAAAACATGGAGAGAGCTGGCCCATAGAATCGCTAAGAGTCGGACATGACTGAAATGGGTAACAACAACAACAACAACAACAAGGTGTCCCTAATGCTGATGCTTATTACATGCCTATAAATGTAATATGTAGTTAGTCCCAGATTCAGCCAGCAAATGTTTATATTCTAAGAAGTTCTACTCAAAATTAAGTCTCATAGACCTGCTTAAGGTGGCACTGTAATAGTACAATGCTATGAATATTTACTGGGGAGGATGTCCCAGTGGATTCAGTGGGGCTTATTCCCTATTAAGTATGTTTAGGATTGTAGCCAGAGATACACAACCATCTTTCACCTGCCTGAAAATCTACCAGGTCTGAATATAGATAATCTTGGGACTGTTTGTTTTCAATGTGTATGTTTCAGCCAAGGGATAAATACAAAGCCCCTGAACTTTGGGAAAAACAGATCCGAAGAGCGAGACTCACAGAAAGCTAAGAAGATGGAGAAAGAGGAAAAAGAATTCCGAAAGAAGTTTAAAGTGAGTACTAATCAAATAGTCACCCAACTGCCACTGGCATTCATAATTTCTTATTTTTAATTATTCTTCCAGTATTAAAAGAAAAAATGTTCAGTGACAAGGACGAAGATTAATTTTTTCCAGAGCACAAATTATGGCAAATGCCTCTGGATTCTAATAAGCGATGCTAGGGATAGACCACCTTCTATCTTGCATGGCCAGCGTTTAAAAATTAGAGCCCCTGTGATCCATGGTATGTTTTAAGTTAACAAAACAAGTGTGCACGCTCAAGATCTCTTAACACATATATTAGTTAAGTTTGTAACTGAGACAGTGTGGTGCAGTGGTTAGAGTGCTAGACTGAGCTATGATAACCATCTTCAAGTACTTGAAGGGCTGTCATATAGATGATGGTGTGGAGTTGTGTTCTGTTGCCCCAGAAGGTCAGACCAGAACCAACGGGTTGAAATTAAATCAGAAGAGTTTTTGGCTAAATATTAGGAAGAACTTCCTGACAGTTAGAGTGGTTCCTCAGTGGAACAGGCTCCCTCGGGGGGGGGGGGGGCTCTCCTTCTTTGGGGGTTTCAGACGCTAGATGGCCATCTGACAGCAATGCTGATTCTGTGAACTTAGTGCATATGTGGTGGGTTACAGTTGTAAAAGTGAAACAATGGAAAACACTCAGAAAACTGTAAACAAGAATGCGAAAAATGATGAACTGATATATATTAACAAAGTGAAATGTACAAAGTTAAGGTAAGTCTACATGCATACAAATGTGGTTCATAATGGACGACAAATAAATTAGTTAACGATGCTCTCCAGAATGACATATATCGTTTCAACGTATCTTCTTCTGAACAGAGGTTGAATAAATAATTAATAGTCCATTACTTATCTGAAGAGTAGAACAGAGGCTGAGCACCCAAATGCTTCTTCATAGAAAATCAAACCATGCTCACAAGTTCACTTAAAATCATTCTCTTCGGGCAGAATACAAAGGTGTGAATTGCCTTCCCGCAGGAGACGTCTTGTTCATCAATTTATTCAACCTCTGTTCAGAAGAAGATTCGTCGAAATGATATATGTCATTCTGGAGAGCATCGTTGGCCCTGCTTAGATTCCAAGATCTGACAAGATCAGACTTGCCTGGGCTATCCAGGTCGAGGTGTTGAATGTCCCATTTTGTCGATTGTACTGGCTCGCTATGTGTAATCTATGAGAAAGGGAGGCTATAAATAATGTCAATAAATAGACATGGCAATAAATAGACATTATTTGGCACTGTGTGCCTCCTGTTAGCCGCCCTGAGCCTTCGGGGTAGGGCGGGATATAAATTCAAAGATAAATAAATAAATAAATAAGATTAAAAGCTGTGGTCACGTGTAGCCAGGGGGTGGGGCCAGTATGTTCTCTCCAAAAGTGTTCATCTCTGGGGGTAGAGCCATTATATCTGTTCCCGATCTTTGCATGTTGTCTTCCTAGATGTGTCTTGGGAAGAGGGCTTTTGAGAGCTCACTGCACTAGTACACTGTATTGGACCTTTTTTGTTGTTCAGTCGCACAGTCGAGTCCGACTCTTCGCGACCCCATGGACCAGATCCTGCCAGGCCTTCCGGTCTTCCGCCGTCCTCTGAAGTTTGCTCAGTTTCATGTTCGTTGCATCTATGACACTGTCTAACCATCTCATCCTTTGCCGTCCCCGTCTTCTTTGACCTTCAATCTTTCCCAGCATCAGGGTCTTCTCCAGTGAGTGCTCCCTTCTCATTTGGTGGCCAAAGTATTTGAGCTTCAGTTTCATTGTCTGGCCTTCCAGGGAACAGTCAGGGTTGATTTATTTTAGGATTGACTGATTGGATCTTCTTGCAGTCCAAGGGACTCTCAAGAGTCTTCTCCAGCACCATAGTTCAAAAGAATCTATTCTTCGGCGCTCGGCCTTCCTTATAGTCCAACTCTCGCAGCCATACATGACTACTGGGAATACCATTGCTTTGACCATGCGGACTTTTTTTTGGTTTGTTTTTGGTGTTTTTTTTGTTGGCAAGATGATGTCCTTTACCCATCTCCAAACAAGGAAATCTCACTTTGGGGCGTGGGTGTGTGTGGAGCATGTCCCCTTCCTCCCCTTCCTCATTCTGTTCAGCCTCCCCAGGAACCTTGCGTGAATAGGTCTTGCAACATCTTCCAAATGAACCGCAGCAGAGCTAGAAGCAGTCTGTGCCCTGCTGAGTCACAGTTCTGAAACTGCTACAAAGCTGCTCCGAAACCAGCTTGCTGAAATCGCAGCAAGGCACAGCAGTCTTTCCTTCCCCCGGGGGAAATAAATGTGAGAATGGAACACTTCCCCTTTGTCCGAATGCCATCAATCAGTGCTTATGTTATGACTGCAAGAGAGAGTTATTTGGCTTTCTCTGGAGAGAGTTTGAGGACCTGATCCAAAGGAAAGGGGACATTTTTCTTATTAAGATTAGCTGCGGTGGCTCAAGTGGTTAAGACGCTGAACTGCAGGCTGTGGAAGGGCAGTAGTTCAGCGGTTCAAGACCCGGGTGCCGCAAGACAGGGTGAGCTCCTGTCTCTAGTTCCAGCTCCTGCCAACCTAGCAGTTCGAAAGCAAGAAATTGCAAGTAGATAAATAGGGACCACTTCAGTGGGAAGGTAACAGCGTTCCGTGCGCCTTGGCGTTTAGTCATGCCGGCCACATGAACACGGAAACGTCTTCGGACAGCGCTGGCTCTTCGGCTTTGAAACGGAGATGAGCACCGCAACCCTAGAGTCGGACTCGACTGGCTTTCGAGCAAGGGAACCTTTACCTTTACCTTACAGAAATAATAAATGATAATCTCCTGCAAGCAAAATGATGCATATAGCATCAGAGAGCATAGCCTATTATATTGTTCCTTGCCTAAAGTCTCAGCATCCTAGCTGGGCGTGGATTTATGCTTGCATCTCCCACTTTCAGATGGTACAGACTTGTCTGCGATACAATGCCGTGGAACTCCACAACAACAGATGATAAGGAGGGGAAGCAAAGAGATAACTGTATTCTGTGTGTTCTGTGGGTGTGTAAGTGCCATCAAGTCACAGCCCAACTTATGGCAAGTCCATAGAGTTTTCAAGGCAAGAAGTGGACAGAGGTGGTGTGTCATTGCCTCTCTCAGCATAACAGCCCTGGACTTTCTTAGTGGTCTTCCATCCAAACTGCGTGGTGGTCTCACACTAACCAGAGCTGGCCTTGCTTAGCTTCCAAGATCGGATGAGAAGAGGCTATACCAAACAAGATTTTATAGATTTGGATAGCCTACATCAGGGTTCCTGACCTTTTCGAGCCTGCAGGTACGTTTGAAATTCTGACGCAGGGTGGTGGGCACAACTACAAAAGGGCTGCTGCAGGAAGCAAAGCCAACCACAAAATGTCAGGGAGCTATGTTATATGGAACTCTTGTAAGGTAAAGGTAAAGGTTTCCCTTGCTCAAAAGCCAGTCATATCCGACTCTAGGGTTGCGGTGCTCATCTCCGTTTCCAAGCCGAAGAGCCAGCGCTGTCCGAAGACGTTTCCGTGGTCATGTGGCCGGCATGACTAGCTGTCGAGGGGCATGGAACCAAAGTGGTACCTATTTATCAACTTGCAATTTCTTGCTTTCGAACTGCTAGGTTGGCAGGAGCGGGAACCAGAGATGGAAGCTCACTCCGTCATGCGGCACTCAGGTCTCGAACTACTGAACTACCGACCTTCCAGCCTGCAATTAAGTGTCTTAACCACTGAGCCACCACAGCTCCTAGAACTCTTGTAGTAACTGTCAAACATTTCTGACAGAAGCTCTGTTTAACAGGGTGCCTTTTAATCGGAACAGCCAATCAGAAGACCCAGTGGGCAAAAGCCCCACCTAGCCCCGCCCACTTTCTGAAAACACTTGGTGGTCAGTGGAAAGTTGTTGGCAGGCACCAGGACACACTGGGGACCTTGTTCTACATCCATAAGTGTGTATACAATGGCAGTGATCCTGAGTAGAATGGTTATTCTTTTGATTGGATCTCGTTATAAGCTGGCCTCTCTTTGTAACGTCTCTCCCACCTGTTCCACCCCCCGTTGCCACCACGTTCTTGTTCTTTGCAGCCTTTAAGATAAATTCATCAGCTTGATGGATGGACACCTCATGCATCCAATGAAGGGAGCCCTGACTGAGTGACCAAGGCCTATGCTGGGGGTAGATTTTCTGAGTCTCTAAAAGTTCTCCTGGACCCATCTTATTTGTTAATGCAGCCACCTGTCAGGAACGATCCTATCCCGATTGTAATGCCAGACTGGAAACTGATGCATGTAAATGGCAGCTTAGCTATGTGGCACCTCAAACATCTTGCCTATGTTTTAGAAGTCATCGTTTTAAGAATAAAAAAGAAAATATAAATGACGATGTTAACTTTGTGTGCCTTGCAATCAACTACAACTGGGGGGGTGGGGAATCTATCCAAAGTGCTCCCAGCAGCTTCCAGACACCATCTGTAGCAGCAAAGTCATTTTGTGGCTGAGAAAAAGACTCCTGCTGGCTTTGTCCAAACCTCCCCCCCCCATTCCCATTCCCATTCTTGAAGCAATGCTGCAAAGATGATACAGAGCAGCTTAGGCGCATTTTTTTTTTAAAAAAAGAAAACAACATTAATTTGCCTTTGGTGCCAGTTTGGTGTAGTGGTTAAGTGCGTGGACTCTAATCTGGGAGAACCGGGTTTGATTCCCCACTCCTCCACTTGCACCTGGCTCGATGACCTTGGGCAACCCGTAGTTCTGATAAGAGCTGTCCTTGAAAAAGAGCCGTTTCTGTCAGAGCTCTCTCAGCCCCACCTACCTCACAGGGTGCCTGTTGTGGGGAGGGGAAGGGAAAGGAGTTTGTAAGCCGCTCTGAGACACCTTTCGGTAGTGAAGGGCGGGGTATAAATCCAATCTCTTCTTCTTCTTAAAGTTTTTTTGTTTTGTTTTGTTTTTACTATATTGGAAACTACACTCAGTGCCAATAGGCGTGTCTCGGTACAGGTGCTGTTAATAAAATAAAACTTGCAATTTATTATTACTATTTTTATCATCATCATCTCCTCAATCATTCTTTTTGCAGTTTGAAGGAGACATTCGAGTCCTGTACTCAACAACCATTATGCAAGCACCCTCTCCGAAGAAAAAAGCTTCAAAAGACTTACTGGTGAAACCGGGAGACTCTGTTGATGTTATTAAAAATGTGGATGGTACCAAAGTCCTGTGTAGGAATGAAGAAGGAAAATGTAAGTAAAGAGAGAGAGAGAGAGAGAGAGAGAGAGAGAGAGAGAGAGAGAGAGAATGGCCTTCTCCTCCGCCCTTCTGCTTTCTGTCTTAGTGATGTGCAGCTGCAAAGGAGGCTTTGGGAGGAAAGGAGGGGCTGTGGCTCACTGGCAGAAATAGCACTTTGCGTGCAAAAGGGCTAGGGTTCCCACCGCCAGGTGGGGTTTGGAGATCTCCTGGCAGTACGGCTCATCTCTAGACGAAAGAGATCAGTTCCCCTGGAGAAAATGGTGGCTTGGAAAGGCAGACTCTATTGCATTATACCCTGATGAGGTCCCTACCCTCTCCAAATCCCAACCCCTCCAGGCTCTACCACAAAACCTCCAGGAATTTCCTAACCTGGAGCTGGCAACCCTAAAAGGGGCCCAGGTTCAGTCTCTGGCATCTCCAGATAGCAAGTCCTGGGAAAGGCCCTACTTTGTCTGAGACCCTGGAAAGCCACTGTGGAGCCTCATAGACCAATAGCCTGACTTGGTACACGGCAGCTTTGTACATATGGGTAGGCATAGCTAGTTGCAACTTATTCAGACCAGTTTATTATAGAATATATTGGAACAATTGGTTGGGTTGCCAGCCTCCAGGTAGCACATGGAGATCTCCCAGTATTACAGTTGATCTCCAGACTACAGAGATCAGTTCCCCTGGGGAAAAGGGCTGCTTTGGAGGGGGGGCTTCATGGCATTATACCCAGCTGAGGTCCCTCCCCTCCCCAAGCCCCACCCTCCCCAGGCTCCACCCCCCAAAATCTCCAGGTATTTCCCAAGCCAGAGCTCCCAATCCTAACAATTTGTTAGAATCCCTAAACTTCTTATGATTTTTCTTTAATTCCAGAAGGGTAGCTTCATTAGTCTCCTTGCAGCAAAATTAAAAAGGAGTCTGGTGGCCCCTTCAAAACTTAAGAGCATGTGGACATCTGGAGACCCTACAAAAGTTTATGCTGGGGAAAAAATGCTGCTGGCTTTGAAGGTGCGGCGAAATTCCTGTTGTTTTATGCATCCCTGGTAAGGTCCGTGTTCTGTAGCTATTCTTCTCCGCAGAGCACATCTTTTACAGCAGAATTTAGCAAAATCTCTGCAGAAAGGTTTTGCCGTGCTGTCTGTGGTCAGTGAAATCATGCTTTGCAGTGTGCCAGGCCCATAGCCAGTGGGGGGTGGTGTCACTGCAGGTGGCACCTCCTATCGAATCTTAATGCCCCCACCCCAATCTTCCCCTTTAAGTTTCCACCGCTGCCCTCTTTGTGCGGATTGCCGTTTCCCCTGCCACCTTTGGAATAAGTCTTGAAGCTGGACTTGTCCTCGCAGGGTGGCTCCCCCAGCTGCTTGATGGCACTGGAGGCAGTGCGGTTGCCCAGTTCCTTGACCGAGCCGGGAAGGGGGGTACAATGTCATAGAGTCCCCCCTCCAAAGCATCCATTTTATCCAGGGGAACTGATCTCTGTAATCTAGAGAGGAGCTGTAATTCCACCTGGAACCTGGCATCCTTATAACCTAATGTATGGGGTTGTAAGGATCAAATGGCGGGGGGGGGGGGGAGTTTGAGAATTCCAAGGAGATATCAAGAATATTTGTGTGTGTGTGGGGGGGGTGTATCTCCAGGGCATGCTTGTCTTCAGAGAAATTATATATCTTACTCTTCAGAGAAATGCATTTTTTCCTGGTTTTGTCGGTGTTTTCTTTGTCAAGTGCTATCTCCAGAAATGTTTTAAATTCTTTGTCTGTTAAAAAAAAGACATGAATTTTTCATTTTGCTTTGTTGGTAACTCCTAGGAAACCTGCAGAAGTACAAATATATTCCTCTTGAGAGTCAAAATATTTCGTTTCTGTGAGGAAGAGCACTCCAGTTTGTGACACATAATAGCTTGGATTTTTAGAAGAAATAGCCTCAAACTTGGTGCACTTTTTCCGCCCTTTTTGTTGGCTGCTGCCCCTCTTTTTTACTCCCTTGAAGCAGGTCAGCCACGCCCACACCCTCGTGGAAAACTATTTCACTCCCACCCCAAGACATTCTTCGCATTCCTCTGATAGTGAAACTAGTGACAGAAGCCTCAGCTTGTCCCTCTACAGAAGAGAGGAGCCAACTTCAGCCTTCCTTTCGAAGGCCTGAACATCTGTCTTGGCAGCTTCCACAGAAATTGTTTGCAGCTGAAGCTGTTCATTATTATCCATCATTTTGAATCCCACCCTTTCCCAAAGGCTCGGCATGGGTTACAGCATTTGGAAACCGGTGAAGGAAAACCCTTAACCACCAACCCCTGACCGGTCTTCAGAGTTGCCAATTATTTCTGCTGATGTGGGTTCTGACAGCACAATACGCATCCCATGGTCATTTAAAAGGACTGGTTTTCACATGGTGTTTTCTTTTTTTATTTCAAGATCAAGAAAGCTGTAAAGGGGACTGGGAAAGCTAATTGGATCAGTTCGTTGGCGCTATGACAGGGTGATAGGTACCCCCTCCCCTCAGATTTTCTTGATCTAATTGACTCCCCTTGAAGCTATTTGGCACTAGGAAAGAACAAACAGATAAACTGACACGGGGTAGGCAATAGTCACTGTATGTGATATTGTGAATATTCCGTTTCTCTCCAGTTCCCTGGCAACTGAGGGGGGGGGTGTTTTTGTTTTTTGGTATCTTAAGAGAAGGAGGAGGGAGGGAGGGAGATGGATTGGCTCCAGATTCAGGCTTGATTTAACCTTCTTAAACTGAGCCAGGGTTATTAATTGCTGCCGTAACAGTCAGAGATGGAGTTGTGGTGGGCAGCCGATGGCACATGGACAACTGGGAGCCTCAGATGCAGATGTGCAATCACAGAAGGTGATCAAGCCAACTCAATAGGGTGCCGGATCAGTGTGGCTGTGTGAATGAGGATATGTTTCCAGTTGTTCACTCACATCAGCCGTGCACCCTGGAGGCTGTCTGAGTCTGTGGAAGTCTCTTGCGACAAACATTACTAGACTGTCAGAGCAACCTTAAGAAAACATGTTCCTGGGAGTAAGCTCCATGGGTAGATCTGAGTAGGCTTCTGAGTAGACCTGTTTAGGACAGCACTTTATGTCCTACCAGAAGCTTAAAAACTGGCATAAAATCTCTGGCTATTCAACTAGCAGTGTTCCCTCTAAGCTGAGTTAGTGTGAGCTAGCTCACAGTTTTTTAGCCTCTGGCTCACATATTTTTGTCTTAGCTCAGGGAAGATGGCTCCAGAGCCAACTAATTTATGCAGTTGCCAAATTGCTCGCTCACAGCTTTAATGCCAGTAGCTCACAAAGCAGAATAATTGCTCACGAGACTCCACAGCTTAGAGGGAACATTGCTCCACGTTAAGCTGGCTGGTGTTGTATAGTGGTTACAGTGTCAGGGTGGGGAGGCCTGTGTTCCAGTTTTCTGCTGCCATGAATTTCACAGAATGGCCTTGGGCCAGTTATTCTACCTCAGGGGTGTCAAACATAAGGCCTGGGGGCCGGAACCGGCCCATCCAGGGCTCTTATGTGGCCCGCAAGCAACTAGTGCAAGGAAGGGAACAGGAGACTGCTTGGGGGAGTGGGCGGAGCCACTGTGATTGTGGCTTCAGCACGGTGTAACAAGCTTGTCTGCAGCAGTCAAGCAGCATGGGAGCATCTGCCCAGTGCTGCACCACTAGCTCTCCAGTCTGCACATTTGGGTTTTCCTCTTTACTCCCCCCCCCCGCCCACAGGGTATTACGGTAAGGACACACCAATTCGGAGCTTACCAGCTGCTGTCCTTTATGCAGTTTATATCTCCAGTACCTGGCATTACATTTTATGGCACACAGGACCCGGCCTGACAAAGTGACATTTGTGCCAGATCTGGCCCTTATAACAAAGGAGTTCGACACCTCCGTTCTAACTCAACCTCACATACCTCATAGGGTTGTCATGAAGACACAATGTGAGGTTATCAGATGTGCCACCTGAAGCTCTTTGAATAAAAATAGATTAAGGACCTCCATGTATATCTTTGGGTTTCACGTTTCTATCAGTCCAGTACAGTGAATTTAGGGCTGAGAGGCATTTCTCTCAGCATTTTCTGGTAGATGTAGCTCTTTGCATGCTAATGGTATTGCAACTACTTACTTCAAACAAACTTTAATACGGGTTGTATTTATGGGAACTGTCAACTTGGTCTTGAGACAAAAATCCCCTTTAAACAACATGATGTTGAGTGGCCTTGGCACTGAAAATCGATAATTTGCTCTAACAGGCTTGCTAATGGCAAAGATTATCTTTGTGCGAGACAGGAAAGGGGAATACAATCACTAGATATGAGCTCATTTCCCCAGGAGAATTGTAGTAAAAGTTGCGGTATTGTCCCTCATTGAAGGGGAAGCCTTTCTGCCTTGAAATGAATTACAGGAACTCATGTTTCAAAGGCTACCAAGGGAGTTATATGATCAGGTTCCGAATGTTTGCCTTGCAGTTTTTAAAATGCTACTGTGAGGAAGGAAAGTGCTATTCATTATTCTTTTATTCAGAAGGGAAACTGAGTCACAAGGCTACAATGCACAACCCCAGTCAGGTTGCCAATTCTGGCAGCTCTGGGGTATATAATCTTGCCAAAGAGGCAAGAGCCTTTCTAAAATTTGAACATCAAACCCAGATTTTATTTGTGCATAGAAGTAGTGGGGACATTAGCCCTGAATGCATGTTACAGTGAGTGTACACACCTCCTGCATATACATCTGTTTGTAAGGAAAAGCCAATGCATGTCCACTTTACAAATGAAAATGGGGACCGGGTTTTGGATGAATGTGCAGGTTCAATCATGCATTCAGCTGCACATGCGTTGAATGTAACAAGCAAATTAGATGCATGTAGAAATAAAAATCAAGTGTACAGTGTTCCCTCTACGCTGAGTTAGTATGAGCTAGCTCACAGTTTTTCAGTCTCCAGCTCACACTTCTTTGTCTCGGCTCAGGAAGGATGGCTCCAGAGCAAACTAATTTATGCAGTAGCCAAATAGCTCGCTCATACCTTTAATGCCAGTAGCTCCCAAAGTAGAATTTTTGCTCACGAGACTCCACAGCTTAGAGAGAGCACTGTGTGCACTGTACACAGATTGTACATACTTTCCTTGTTACTTATTTAACATCACCATGGTAGTAATTTATTTATTTACTTGCTTCAGTTTTAACCTGCCTTTCTTACCAAAGACCAAGCCAGATTAAATATATATATTGAATTTATATATATTCAGTTAGACAGCATAAGACATCCAATAAACAATGCAATAGGACTCAGGTTACAGTATTAGAAAACAATGGAAACAGAAAAAAGTCTAAGGCATACAATACCATAAAGAACGCAGAAAATGGATAGCAACGGTAGAAGGCACTGCTGCAGAAAAAAAAAACAAGATGATAATGGAATAAATTGCAATAAATTACAAGCCTGTCCCCTTATAAGAGCAACATTTACAGAATGTTGCCGTATTGATTGCTGTTTGTCCTGAACATTCTTTTCCTATAGCCAATTTTATTTTTAGAGCTTAGATCCAAGAGCTCTACAATCTTGCCTTTCGGTGTTCGCAGAATCATCAAGCGGATGTTGTGAGGAATGGTGAACGTTTTGATGTTCATTGCTTTTTGTTTGTTTCAAAAGACTGCTTGAGTGCTCTTTGTTTCAAATTATAGTACATCGCCTTGAAAACCTGTAATCATAAAAAGGGCAAAGGAAAAGGTGCAGATGCTGAGAGGGGCTTGTGCCAGTGAGAGTTGTGAAGCCAACTTTTACATACTACACACCTTCCTTGTAGACCCTAACTCCTTATTTAAAAAATCCTTATTTTCACATTGATAAAATATTGTGCTTTGAATGTTGGGAAAATGCATTTTCTCAGCAACCAATGCACTAACTGGGATGAGGGCACTGCATTTTATGGAAGCAACTGAGTAGCAAACTAATTATTCCAACAAAATGAGTAACCTGGAACAATCATAATAAAATAATTTTAAAAATCATAAAAACTGTGTTCACATACCGTGCTTCAGCATGCAATATCTCATGTGTTCTCAACAGAGTAGTGTCCCCTAGAATGCAGAGTATGATCCCATTCTGACTGTTGCTGTAAGTGTAACATGTGAGTGAGGCACAAGCATAAAACAATTATTTTGGTAAGTGTTTGCATTGCCCTGCCAAGGTCAATCATGTGACACATGGACAGGTCCATCAATGGCTACTAGCCATGGTGACCTATGAAACTGCCTTGAACTGAATCAGACCACAGGTCCATCAAGGTTGGTATTGTCAGATGGGCAGCAGCTCTCCAAGGTCTCAGGCTGAGGCCTTTCATCTACCAACTGGTCCTTTTAACTGGAGATGTTGGGGATTGAACCTGGGACCTTCTGCATGCAAAGCAGAGGCTCTTCCACTGAGCCACAGCCCTTCAGCTCTGACCAAGCCCTTGTGCCAAACAATGGGCTTTCCCACATTCTCATTTTCCTTACTTGTAGGTTTCTGTTTTTTTCGGGGGGCGGGGTTGTTGTTTTGCATATGCTTTGCTCCCTCTAGTGGTCAATTCAATATTTCATCAGGTTATCTCCCACATAAAAACCTGCAGTTTAAATCTGCAGGGATATATTTGTTAGTTTGTTTGTTTGTTTATTCACATTTATAGCCCACCCTTCCTGGAAGCAGGCTCAGGGCAGGTAACAACATTTAATCTATACAAAATATATGTTAATACAATAAAATTAAAATTTAAAACTTCATCATAAATATTGATACGGTGGTCACAGCTGACAGCAAAGAGATTTTCTGGTTGTGAGAGGTTCCTGGCCACAGCCAGTAGTTGTTCACAGAGTGACAGACACCTCAGGGAGGCTATACATGGATGTCCACTGCCTCAGCCAAAGGCCTGGTGGAACAGCTCCATCTTGCAGGCCCTGTGGAATTGAAGTAGATCCTGCAGGGCCCTGATCTCAATGGGAAGCATGTTCCACCAGGCAGGGGCCTGGGGTGGAAAAGGCCCTGGCCTGGCTGAGGCAAGACAGACATCTTTCGAGCCAGGGACTACCAGGAGGTATTGATCCATAGAGCATAGTGCTCTTCAGGGCATATACAGGAAGAGGCGGTCCCTCAGATATGTTGGTCCCAGGCCGTGTAAGGCTTTAAAGGTTATTACCAACACCTTGAAACAGAGCTGGAACTCTACTGGTAACCAGTGCAATTGGCGGAGTACCTGCCAAACATAATCTGATGTCATATCAAATCGACCACTAGGGAGAGCAAAACACATGTGCAGAAAAGCTCAATGTGAGACCATCTATTGAAGGGTCAGTTCACACATTCTTTGTTTACCGTGTGGCCACCGGATCATCTAATAATGATTGACACCTGTGAAGGAGCCATTGCAGAGTCAACAGTACATATTGAGCTTTCATGATCATGTTGGCTGTATAAGGAGGACACACATGTGTAAAACTGTGTAAAACTGAGTCATTCCCAGTGCAAGCCTATACAGAGTCACACCATTCTATGTCAATGGGCTTAGAAGGCTATAACTCTGTTTAGGGTTGTACTGTAAGTGATGAAACGCTGATAACTACACATGTATGCATCAAATCTTTATCTAGCCATTTAAACTAGAAATAAAAATCTTAGTATATGGGAATCAGGCATTAACTGGTTTTTACTCAGTTTGTAGTGCTGTCCTAAAGAAGAGTTGCATCCTTTTAAGGCTATTGACTTCAGCAGACTTAGAAGGGTGTAACTTGGATTTGTGCACATAAATAATGTATATGTCTTACACAGACCTACATTCACAGTCTTGATTCCTGCCAAATTCCAACAAATTTCATAGGGTCAGGATTGCATCCAAACATGTCATTTGGGGGTTATATGGTATGTTGCTTCTTTCTGTCTGATGGTTTTCTCTAAACTAAGAGATCTGGCAATTTAAGCTGAATATAAATATGTACACATTTTATTTTACAGATGGCTATGTTCTCAAAAGCTGCTTATTGGATGAGTAAGTGCTACTTTTTAAAAACAAAATCTTGAAGCTTCTTATATTGCAGACCATTTCCCAAGGCTTGTTGAAATGACAGTTACTGTATTTAAGGTTTGGTCCACAAACTGTTCTTTTCCTTCTATAAATTGCTTTTAAAGAATCTGGTTTATTTTAAAAAAGAAATTCTTGCAAAGAAATGTATTTCTGCAAAGACAAGTGTGCTTTTTTAAAACCACTTTTGACAAGGAAATGGTTGACCATGGCTAGTCTTCATGTTCAGCGTTTTAATGGGTTTAATGGTAATAGGCATAATCTATCTGGCATTGAAATTGTCCACTGGCTGTGCAAAAGCACACAAGCTTTATTCTCAGGCAACTCCTGTCCAATGAAATTAATGCAGGAAAACATGTCAGTGGTTCATGCCAGGTCTCTTATATCTTCCTATGTTTCATATTTAGAAATATCCTTTCTAATATTTGAATGGCTTCTAAAGCTAAGGTCCTAATTTGGGAGTAAATCCTATTGGTAAAGGTAAAGGTTCCCTTGCTCGAAAGCCAGTCGAATCCGACTCTAGGCTTGCGGTGCTCATCTCTGTTTCAAAGCCGAAGAGCCAGCGCTGTCTGAAGACATTTCCGTGGTCATGTGGCCGGCATGACTAAACACCAAGGTGCACGGAACGCTGTTACCTTGCCACTGAAGTGGTACCTATTTATATACTTGCAATTTCTTGCTTTCGAACTGCTAGGTTGGCAGGAGCTGGAACTAGAGACGGGAGCTCACTCCGTCATGCGGCACACTCGGGTCTCGAACTGCTGTACTACCGACCTTCCACAGCCTGCAGTTCAGCGTCTTAACCACTTGAGCCACCACAGCTCCTAAATCCTATTGGTACTTTCTCCCAAGTAAACACGCACAGAACAGTTCTTCAGACCATGCTACCAAGATTTAGAATTTGCTTAGAGTAATACATAGGAAAGTAACTAAAGGTTGTGTTTTGTTTTTTGTCTCAAAATTTTCAGTGATGAAGAAATTTATGACGATATCGCTGAAGGTAATAAGTTACACTTTTCAAAACTGAATTATGATAACGACATGAAATTAACTTAATGCCTTGGAGATTTGTTTTTATTTACAGTATGTAGGCCATTGTCAAAATACAATAATGATGTTTTCTTCTCCTTTTGCTCCTGTAGACTGCATATATGACAATGATTAACTGCGGTTTTCTTCCAACATGAACATCATCTTTTCTGAAGCTCCAGGTTGATCCCACAGTTACATCGGAGATCCCTGTTTCCAAACAACAAGACGGGTCTCCCCGTGGAGTCATGAGCAGGTTGCTGGACTATATCCCTGCTTTATTTCATTGTGCCAAGAAGTAGACCTCTGAACCGTTTCCCTAACCAGTCAATAGAGTAGGAAACCGATAAATCATTGGGTTAACCATCTGGTTTTCCTGTTTTCACAAACGGTTTCTGTTTACTAAGGGTATACTTTCAAATGTCCCACGAAAATCAAGGGTTTTATGTTATTTGCAACACTCCTGCTGTCACACCAATGATCACTGCATAAGGCATAAGGCACAAAAACACAAATCCACCCCATTTTACCTGTTCATATCTGCTCATTTATTGTTCAATAGTGTGTCCTGGTTTCTGAAGGAGATTGTAACTGTTTTGTTTCATTTTGTTTTTGTTCTTTTTTTAAAAAAAAAAACTTAATATTTTGTCACACAATGCATTTGGTTGTAGTTTTTAATAGTGTTACTGTCCTGAACAACAACAACAAAAATTTAATAGTGAATGGTAAGCATTCCTAGGGTCAGTTCGGAGTGAGGTCATGCAAAACAAGTCAGTCTGGAATTGGTTTGAATTGTGCCTCCATTAACTCATTTTCAACGGAGCCCTTCTGACTGAACTGCAGATCTTGCCATGATCGGGAGGACTGGAGACCTCCTCTCCCCACTCCAGGATTCGCCAGCTTCCCATCATGTTGGCTCCCCCCCTCCTTTCTCCAAACCTTTGAGAGCCAGTTTGATGTAGTGGTTAGGAGCATGTACTCTAATATGGAAGAACCAAGTTTGATTCTCCACTCCTCCACATGCAGCTGCTGGTGTGACCTTGGGTCAGTCACAGTTCTCTCAGAGCTGTTCTCTCAAGAATAGTCCTCTAAAGAGCTCTCTCAGCCTCACCTACCTCACAGGGTGTGTGTTGTGGGGAGGGGAAGAGAAAGGAGATTGTAAGCCACTCTGAGATTCCTTCAGGTAGTGAAGGGCAGGGTATAAATCCAATCTCTTCTCTTTTTCTTCTTCTTTTTCTTAACCAGTCATTGGTAGTGTAAGTGGGAAGAAACTGCAGCTACAACTGTCTGGTGCCGTGGGGGTTCAAACCCCAAACCTGGGGTCAGCAGCTCTAGAGCCTTGCTCTATCCTACATGAGAGCTAGGAAAGTGTCTAGTTCAACTTTCTCTACAGCCCAGTATTCTCACAATACAAGAACCCGTGGGCACTCGATTAAATTGCTGAGCAGTCGGGTTAGAACAGATAAAAGGAAGTACTTCTTCACCCAAAGGGTGATTAACACATGGAATTCACTGCCACAGGAGGTGGCGGCAGCTACAAGCATGGACAGCTTCAAGAGGGAATTAGATAAGCATATGGAGCAGAAGTCCATCAGTGGCTATTAGCCACAAGGTATAGATGGGAACTCTCAGTCTGGGGAAGTGATGCACTGTATTCTTGGTGCTTGGGGGGGGGGGCAACAGTGGGAGAGCTTCTAGTATCCTGGCCCCACTGCTGGACCTCCTGATGGCACCTGGTATTTTTGGCCACTGTGTGATAGGCCTGATCCAACAGTGGCTTCTCTTATGTCCTTATGTTCAAGATGGCCAGCAGAAGAAGCGGTTTGGCCTTGAGCTGCAAGAACCAACTGACTGGAAGGTCTAATCAGATCTGGTCTGGAAGGAGGGTTTCCAAGCGCCAGGTGGGGCCTGCCCACTATTACAACGGACCGCTAGACAACAGAGATCACCTCTCCTGGAAGAAATGGCAGCTTTGGAGGGTGGATATTTTATTCCACTGAGGTCCCTGTCCTCCCCAGGCTCCATCCCCAAATCTTCAGAGTTTCCCAACCTGGATCTGGCAGCTCTACACTCCCCAATCCCCAGTCGATGGCCAGTGGGGAGCTGACAACTAAGGCTGCCAGCCTCCAGGTGGGGCCCAGAGGTCTCCCGCTTTTCCAACTGATCTCCAGCTGACAGAGATCAGCTCCCCTGGAGAAAATGGAAATCCAAAAACAATATCCATGAGAAGTGGCATTCCACTTCCTCCCGTAATCTCTCATTTTTGGCCCCTGGAGAAAATGTCGACTTTGAAGGGTGGACTCTGTGGCATTGTACCATGCTGAGCCCCCTCCCCAAACCCCGCCCTCTCCGGGATCCACCCCCAAAGTCTCCAGGTATTTCCTAACCCAGACCTGGCAACCCTACTGCGCAACCCTGCCTGGAAATATAAAGCGGCCGACTCCACATTGTACCCTCAGTTTAAGCAACTCCTTTGTAACATGAAAACTGAGCTAAGTCTATAAATCTTGATCTCTGGACATACTATGCTATTACCTACCCTTGCCATGGAGCTGACGTTTGACCCCCCCCCCCTTAATATTGTTCTTGCTTCACCCTATGGCCCAAGCTTCACTTGAACCTTGTGTCTTCCTAAGCCACTGCATTCCTCAGCACCCGAGCCACCTGGCTGAAACAGCGCTGCAGCATGGTGAGCCCAAAAGACTGCTGGGAAATGTAGTTTCTAGGCGATGGGAGCATTCTCTCAGGCTTGATTCAGATTGGGACCACCTTGCCAGTTCCAGTTCGTGGTTCCTCCAACCCCTCTTATCTGGTGGCTCCTGCTGTGGCTGCTGCTCTGTCACTCCCAGGATATGGAGATTTCTCAGTGTTCCTGGAATGCTGACACAGCAGCATTCTAGGCACTGAGGATGGAGGAGAGAGAGAACATAATGATGCCAACTTACTATCAGGTGCAAGGGAGACACAAAGTAAAATCCAAACTGTATGGGGGGGCATAATATTCATACCAAATAAAAGGTGTTACACGTTGCTAAGATCTGTAGGGCAACCCATGGAATTACAAACTTTAACAACATTGCTGTTTGTTTCCCGGGACATTTGGGGCTTAGGGACCCCGGGGAATCTAGAGATACTGATATCCTTGTTGCTGCTGTGCCTACACATAGAAGCATCCTCAGCTCCATAATTAATGGGAATTGTAGCTTCCCTGGACTAAGGACCCAGAAGCTGGTCTTGGCACCTGCAAAGCTGCTACTGTCTAATGAAAGGCAGCATCAGCAGCCCTTCTGATTACCATTGCTACCCCCAGGTTGCATTTCAGCAAGAAAGGATGGGATTGATGCTGGACCTAAAGCTGAGCTAATCATGAACAGAGCCCAAAGTTCAGAGAAGTTTGGGGCTCAGCTCATAATTAGCATGAAAGTTTTGAACTCCAGACTCTACCTATATCATTACTTTGTGTAGATCAGCTTCAATTCAAACACATCCGACATCTTTTACGATCTGGATTATGGAGCGGCACTCTGTTTGCAATAAGTGCATGCACATGTACTGGTCGCGTATGTATATTGATTCCCCGTCCCCCTTTTTAAATAGATTAATTTATAGAAATAGGACATGGAAATTACCTGTGTGCAGATGAACACCATTTTTAAAAAGCATTCTCAATATTCTTCCAAAGGCAAAATAGGGAAAAATAAAGACAAAAAGATTCTCTGGGGCAGGTACCAAATATGAATAGCTCCCGATAAACAGGAATAAATTGGAGTATATGTAAAAACCTTTCTGCTTTGACCTACAAAACCACACACCCTCCCGCTTCCTTTTATCTGTCTCTTCCCTCAAAGTAAAAATAACAGCAAGTGCTTTGAAGGGAATTTTTTACTATTAAAAAATTCAGATGTCCTTGGGAAGGTTAGCATGTGGTTGTCTTGACTGAAGGAGCTCTAAAGTGGAATATCAAGGACTCTCCACCTGCCTATGCCTATTGTAGGGCATGAAAAACAGCTTTCATAATTGCTAAAGACTGCCTTTGCATACAATCATCGTGCGTATTGTTTGGTACCTTGCTGGGAAGATTCCCAATCAATTATAGTTTATTCAGCTGGTAACACCAGTCTTCTTGTGGTGACAATGAATGCTGAAGGCTCCTTGATATATTCCAAATGACATTATGGTTTCAAGACGACATGGGCAGACACAGGCGCACACATGCAGAGTTCTGTCAGTTAATCAACTAAAGTGCAGATGCACTATCCAGGAGAGGGTGTAACAGAGACAGATGAAATCCAAGTTCCCAGATGCTGATCAGCGTCACTGCTGATTTATTTGAGGACGGGACCAAGACTTAGTGGTAGAGCATCTGCGTGGCATGCAGAGTGTCTCAGGGTCAAACCCTGGCATCTTGAGTTAAAGGGAATGAGGTAGTAGTGATGTGAAAGACCTCTTCCTGAGATCATGGAGAAATCCCTGCCAGTCTGAGTTGACAGTAACTGACCTTGCTGAACCAGTGGTCTAATTCAGTACAAGCTTCATGTCTTCATACGTGTGCATGACCAGGTTTCTATTCGTACACAGTTGTAGCTGCTGTACCTGATTTGGGACCACACACTCGGAATGTGTTTGCAAGTATAATTTTCTGCTATCTAGGAGTATGTGTGCAGACAACCTTACTGAGATCAAGGGGCGGGTTCTCTGACACATAACCAAGGAAAAATGTTTTGTAGAAATTAAATTATTTGTATAATGGCAATCAGTTGATAAAAATTGCTGTGCATAGTTCTTGTGTTTTTTAATTAAGCAAATCACAAATATAATTTATGTATCGTAAAACATGGTTTTCATTTCATGCACTGTATCCTGAGATATTAGCTTTCTGAAACCTTTGACTAAGCTCTAGTAAGTGTGTTGTTAGCCAACAATTTTTAGGAATTAGTTCTATGTTTTTATTCTCTGTAGATTTCCCCCCCCCTCAAATGTGTGATGATCTGGGAAACATTAAAGGTCTTATGGGTTTTCTAATCTTTAGCAACATGCTTATGGATTTCTTTGCTCACCCTATTGCTTCTTCTAGCATACGTGACAAAGCCATCTGAAAGAGAAAAGGCACAAAATCAGAGTTTAGCAGACACAGATGCCAGTCAGTGGTAACCAGCATCAGAAATGGGAGCAATGAAGTCACAAGGGTGAATCAGCTGCATACAAACACCCTTTATAGAATACTTAACCTCAACAGAAATTACCCCTGTAAATCTAGGGCAGTGGTACATTACATACTGCATTCTCGAAACCAGCAATGAATGGTTGGTGAAGAAACCACAAAGACTAGATCCAGGTGAAGGAGAGCGATGAAGTGACTGCTTCCTTCCTTTCTAGCAGTTACCCTAAGAAGTCACCACAGCAGATGGGGCCGAGATGCCAGGTAAAGGGTCCAAATGGTAACTGAGAACCAAATCTGCAGTTCTGCCTTGCCCTTCCTCAGCTTCACTATCCCAGAAAGCAGTGGGCTTGGGAAGGGTCTTGAGGACAATTAGGCAACATCCTTGGCAAGACATTTGGAGGGACCAGGTCTCTTTTATGGTAAAGAGTAGTGAGTCCCAAAGTAGTCTCTGTGGGAGCCATAACACTCACCAAACCATGATA